GGCTCTCATCACCCCCACCCCACAGCCCCACCGGGTGTGCTTTTGTAACACTTTCCACTGTGTCCCCCAGCAGGGGACCTAATGTAATTAACAGTGACGGCAGCTTACCCTTGCTGAGGACAGGCTCCGTGCCAGGGGACTGTGACACCTGCTCTACCTTGCATTTAACCCTTAAACTCATACCGACTTACAGAAGAGGGGAAGCCCCAGGAAATGCAACCCAGAGCCAGCTCTGTTCCACCATCCTGTAACAACCAGTGCCTGGGAACCCTCCGTGGCTCTAAGCTCGCCGAGGGCAGGGTCTTCTCCAACGTGCCTGGCACACGGTGAGGACGCCAATATTGACAGAGGGCGGCACACGCGTCCTCCATTTTTAAAGAAACGTTAGTAAAGGGCGCCTGGGTGGCCCAGTCGGTTAAGCATCTGACTGTGGCTCAGGTCATGATCTCACGGTTTGCGAGGTCGAGCCCCGCGTGGGGATCAGAGCCCACTTCGGATCCTCTGTCTCCCTCTCTCTCTCTCTCTCACGCACACAAATAAATAAACCTTAGAAAAAAGAGGTTAGCAGGAAATGTCACACCTCCACATAAAACGTCCCGATGGCTCCACAGGGCAGAATAAAATCCTAGACCTTCAGGACAACATGCCAGGCCCAATATAATCTGGCCTCGTCCTTTACCGCTGCCCTCCTTACGGGGGCCGCCCCGTCCATGCACTTCCTCAACACAACAAGCCCAGCCCACCTCAGGGCCTCCCTCTGCCCAGAAGGCTCTTTCTTCCACCAAGTATCCGTACTGCCCACTCCCTCCTTCCGAGGTGCTTTGATGAGAGGCCTGTCCTGACCCATCCGTCACTTCCTCGGCTTTATCCTCCACCCCAGCAGCGATCTCCACTTACCGTGGAGATCTATTTCGTCTGTGCCTGCCTCCTCTCAGGGCCAGCAACCAAATGTAAGCTCCATGAGAACAGGGACAACGTCTGTTCTGTCCCCTGCTTTAACTCTGGCACCCCGAACTCCGCCTGCCAGAGCAGGTGCTTACAAATGGGGGGAATGGAAGACCTCCAGTCCTTTGACCTCTCCACTCTGCCCTCTCCCGCAGGCCCCTCCTGTCTTCACCGCCCACCCCTCCCTCTTGCCAAATCCTCAGTTCCTTCCCTTTCCATCAACCTGTTGCAAAACTCTCCTGGATGCATCCCAACGTCCACCTTTTCTGTCAGGGGCCTCACCGTGATGCCAACCAGAGAAAGCCCATCACCCAGGCAGAATCCTGAAGCCTGCCTGGCTTTCCTTTTAGGAAGACCCTCCTCTAGCCCTCCCCTCTTGCGGTTGTTAACAGAGCCTCCCACCACGATACAGACATGCCCTGCCTACACTCAGCCCAGCATCTATCCACGGTGCCCAAGGGAAAACACAGGGTCCTTACCCACTGCGCTCTGGGGTCAGAGACCCTCCTGTCCCAGCCCTCCTTCTCCGGGATACACATTGTCACCCCAACTCTCCATCTGGCTGCTGGCCCCTCTCCTCCTCTTCAGACTCGAGGAACCCCACTCCGTCTTCACTTTGCCCAGAAGTGCCAGTCCAGACCTCCTGGTCGCAGCACCAAGACGACTTTCTCGGTCGCGCCTCTCCACGGGTTTCACCCGAGGTCCCTCCCCTGCTGCCAGCGCTCTCCCCGTGCCCTCTGCGCCATTCTCCTGGCTCTCCCGCTCCCGCTCTCCCTGGCTGGTTCGCGCTGCCCCTCGAGCCCCCGACCCGAGGCCTGTCGACCCCATGACGGCGGCGCGCGGGCCGGCCGGCTTCCTGGCAGTCGGCGTCCTCTCGGCCACCCCGACTCCCTGGACCCGAGGGCGGCGAGCTAGCGTCTCAGTGTTGCTGGCTCTCTCCCCAGGTCCAGCCCGAAGGCGACCGCAAACAGGACCTAAGTGCACAAGTGCCTCCCGGCTGAACCTGGTGCAATCTTCATCCGGGCGAAGTGCCACTCCGGGACCAGGAAACGCTCCCGCTTCCTGCTTGGCTGGCACTCGGGGCCGGGGCCGGCGCCGGGCCGACCGCGGCCGCAGACAGGCCGGGGGCCGGAGGGCCGCGGCGCCGCCTCCCGGAGGAGGCTCCCACCGG